GGAATTAGGAAGAACTGCCCATTTAAAATTGATATTGGAGCCATTTTTAATCACAAGGTCATTATATGTTATTATTATTATTATTATTATTATTATTATTATTATTATTATTATTATTATTATTATTATTATTATTACTATTAATCGTTTTATTTTAATTATTATTCAATAGCCTAGGATACACAAGTCCATTCAGCCAGGAAACTTTAGAGCCGAGAGCAAAGAGCTGGTCTTTGATATTGATATGACCGACTATGACGACATAAGAACCTGCTGCAGGTACCAACCAACGGAATGAGTTTATAGGATAGAACCATGGGCTATAGCCTTGGGTATCTTTCTGAATTTTGGCATTTTCTTAAAATGGCCTTAACTTGAAAAATTGAAGTCGAAATCACCTCAAACTTTCTACACAGCATAAGGGCATCAATATGTGTTAGAAAATGTAATAAAAATTTGGGGTGATTTCAGAGCCATTTTTGGAAAAAAAACCATGGGCTATAGCCTTGGGTATTTTTCAGAATTTTGCGGTTTTCTTAAAATGGCCGTAAGTTGAAAAACTGAAGTCAGAATCAACTCAAACTTTCTACACAACATAAGTACATGTATATGCATCAGAAAATGTAATAAAATTGAGGAATTTTCTACTTGTCAATTTTTGTGAAATTTTAGAAAAATCCCTGTACTATAGTACAGGGACTTTTGTCCGATTTTTGAGCAACTTTAAAAAAATCATAGAAAATCCAAATTTGATCAGAATCAGCTCTAACTTTCTACACAACATAAGTACATGTATATGCATCAGAAAATGTAATAAAATTGAGGAATTTTTTACTTGTGAATTTTTGTGAAATTTTGGAAAAATCCCTGTACTATAGTACAGGGACTTTTGTCCGATTTTTGAGCAACTTAAAAAAAATCATAAAAAATCCAAACTTGATCGGAATCAGCTCAAACTTTCTACACTGCATAAGTACATGTATATGCATCAGAAAATGTAATAAAATTGAGGAATTTTTTACTTGTGAATTTTTGTGAAATTTTAGAAAAATCCCTGTACTATAGTACAGGGACTTTTGTCCGATTTTTGAGCAACTTAAAAAAAATCATAAAAAATCCAAACTTGATCGGAATCAGCTCAAACTTTCTACACTGCATAAGTACATGTATATGCATCAGAAAATGTAATAAATTCAGGAATTTTGTACTTGCGAATTTTTGTGAAATTTTGGAAAAATCCCTGTACTATAGTACAGGGACTTTTGTCCGATTTTTGAGCAACTTTAAAAAAATCATAAAAAATCCAAACTTGATCGGAATCAGCTCAAACTTTCTACACTGCATAAGTACATGTATATACATTAGGAAATGTAATAAAATTCAGGAATTTTCTACTTGTCAATTTTTGTGAAATTT